TAACGCGAAGAACCAACAAATGCAGCATACCTTCATCTGGCACAGAAAGAAAAGAAAATGCTCTTCTAAAAATGGAAGATAGGACAGGCACGGAACAGCTTGTCCTTTTCCATCCAATAAGAAACCTCGTGAGGGTGAACTACATTAAGAATACAACTCTCCAGCGAGGCCGCAGCTCCCTCCTAGATAGGTACAGTCGATCTACAGGAAAGTCGCGCTCCCGGGGCAGGCGGGCGAGCGCGGGCGAGGGACCGGAACACCCACGAGGCTGACGCGGCGGATTCCCTGGGGCGGGTGGGCAGGCGGGCAGCAGGTCCCGGGCACCTCCCCGGCGCCGAGCCGGCGAGCGTCGCGGCTGGCACGGCCTGGCAGCGGAGTAGGCCCGCCGCGCGGCTGAGGGCGGTGCCCAGTCTCCAACGCGGCCCGGGCCCTGCGGCGGGCACCCCTCCCCCGCCCCGGCACTGACCTGTCCAGGGCCCGGCTGGGCCTGGCCGGGCGGGGCCTACGCAGCCCCACGGCCCAGCGCCGCCTCGCTCAGGGTCCCGGGCCCGGGAGGGCCGCCTGCTTTCGGCCGGGAGCCTCCGAGCCGGGGCCCGGGGCTGCCGCGGCGCATCCGATCGCAGCGGCCTGGTCGGCCTCAACAAAGGGCGACTGGGGCGCTGGCTCAGGCAGGGTCGCGAAGCCGGGCGGGGGCGCGGGTAGCGGCCGGGCTGCGCGCGCGCGGCGGGCGCTCGAGGGCTGCAGCGCCGCGGAGACAATGCGGCGCGTCCGGGACGGCTCCCGCGGCCGCCTCGCCGGGGGCGGGGCGGGGCCGGCGGGGGCGGCGCGGGGCGGGGCCTCGGGCCGCGCGCTTCCTTTGTGCGGCGGGCTCCGCCCCGCGCTCTCCGGAAGGCGCAGCGGGGCCGGCGTCGCGGTGGGCTCGGGTCCTCGGTTGGTGAGGGCGAGCGCCCGGCCTGGTAGTGCTGTCGTCGCTCCTCCTCGGGTACTCTCTCCTCCACGGCTCACTATCTGTGCGGCCTCAGAGGCAGGGGCGCCAGTAATTGAGGGCTTAGTATGTGTCAGGGCCTAATGTCGCAGCCCCTCCCTTATTGTTCACAATAACCCTCCAAACAGTCATTATTCTCCTTACTGGGAACCGGGACCAGAGAGGTGAAGTAATGACCGAAGTGACCTAAGCATACCTCCATAAAGGGCGTAATCCCTGCCTGTGAGGTTTAATGTGAGGGTTAACTGATTACAAATTGTCGGCAGTGCCTGGTGCACAGTGGGAGCCCAATAAATGTTAGTTTTCTTTCCCAAACACTGCTTTAACTTGAACACTCTGTTTGCTGTGTGTGTGTGTGTGTGTGTGTGTGTGTGTGTGTGTGTGTGTGTGTGTGTGATACTGTCCTTCATCAAACACACTAGGAAGATCTTTGATCTGATGCACAATTCTCACCCCAGGAGTTGCTGCACAGAGCAGTAAATTTCTGCCCCCATTTTTGACCTTTCTAGTCACAGTATTTCCCCTTGCCTTTCTTGGTATTTAGAATCATTCTCTATAATTTTATTTCTGTCTCCTCACCTGCTTTTCCCTTTTGGCTTTGTCTTTTTTTAGTTCCACTTTTTACATTTACTTCATAATCCGAATGTTTACTTCTTTCCTTCTCCCCGCTTTCCTTTCTCCTTTACTTTTGCTGAATTTTCAAATCCTCTTTTCACTAATTTTCACATGTTCTTCCCCTCTCTGCTTTTGCATTTCTTACACTTATATTTTGCTTTTTAAACTAACATGGAATTGAATATTTAACTTCTGTCTCATCCCCAAACGTGCACACACTTTCCTGTTCTCTCACCCTAAATTCCACTTGTCTTTCCTGGAATACTCTTTTCCCAATCTTGCTTGTTCAGGTCCCACCCATCCTGTAAGATCCAGACTCAAGAACAGTGGTTGGCAAACTTTCTGTAAGGGACCAAGGAGGAAATATTTTAGACTTTGCAGGCCAGATGGTCTCAGGCCCAACTGCTCCACCCAGCCCTTGGCCATGGATATGCACATGAATGTTGTGACAATGTACCAGTAGAACTTCACTGTGAATACTGAAATTTGTAACTCAGTGGTTTGAGAGCTCTTATGAAACAGTATACTTTTGATAGTTAAAATCATTAGCTTTCTGGCTGTACAAGCAATGGCAATGTGATGGATATGGACCTGGGCCTATAGGTTTTTTTTTTTTTTTTTTTTTTTTTTTTTTTGTCTTTTTCATTTTTATCGGTACTGGGGACCGAACTCACGACCGCCTGCCTGCAAGGCAGGTGCTTATGCCGCTGAGCTAAATCCCCAGCCCTGGGCCTATAGTTTGTTAACCCCTGCTCTACAGCAAGGCCAAAACCTCCCTGAAATCTATACTGACAATCTCTACTCACCAGTAAAATTTCCCTCTTTGTAACATGTAAAGCACTTACTCAAAATCCTTCTGAAGTATTTATCACATTTTAGCATTCATTTTCATTTTCTTCTGTGTAATTTTCATCTTTCCAAGTAAATCTTAAGCTCCTTGAAGGTGGGTACAGGCCTTATTCTGTGTGTACTGCCTCCTGCCCCACAGATGTCCAGAACAGAGCCAACATTCAGACATACACAGAATGTATGGATATATAAGTTGTGAGTACTTGGCCACTATGCAAGGCTTACTTCTCTCACAAGATAGGACCTCAAGAGAAGAATGCTTGTTATGTGTTGATCTCCTTGGTTACATTTCAAAAAGGGTTTCAGAGCATTATGAATAAGATGGGAAAAGGTAGGTAAATGTCAGTTCATTTAGAGGTTGTTAGATAATAAATACTTGAACAAAGAATGTTGCTTTACAGCAGCCTGGAGACAAGGCATGTGTCCTCAGTCATGGGCTACACAGCACTTCAATAAACAAATTGATAATGACAAAGAAACTATACTGTGTAGTTGAGTGGCAACATTAAACAGATGAACTAGCATAGTAAGTAACAGAAACCAGGTATAAAAGATTCTTGACCCAACACTTAGTCTCTCTGTGTCTCAATTTTCCCACCTTTAAAATTGGGATAAAAAAAGTTCTTATCTTAGAGAGTTATTGTCAGGATTAAATGAAGAAATATATGGGGAGCCTACGAGAAATAATTCAATGAATGTTAGCTATTAACTATTACTAATCTCTTTTAAGGCTGAAACTATGGGATGAGTTCACAAGATAATATTTAGCTGATATAATCATATTTTGGCTCAAAACATAAATCATATAAAGTGAGAGGCTGAGGCGAGCTGGAAGATAAAGCACTTTAAGTAAAAAGTAACCTCAAAAACAAAAACAAAACTCTGGAATTCAGTTGACATTGTCCTCTGAACCAACAGCATTATTCCTGTGGGTCAGAAGAGTTAATGGGGAGCCCTGAGCATAGTGGTCTTGTGAAGGACATTGAGGAGTTACAGTACTGGGAGCCAGAACCAGGATGTGTGACCTAGAGTTCCTTCAACTTTTTTTCCTCCTCTGAATAATGGGGATAAAAATAGAACTGCTATCTAGCACATAGTAGGTGTTTGAAAAGTTTTAGTGTCTTCTACAATTCCATATAGATCTAGAAAATACTCTTACAAAGATTAGCGGTCTTTTATCCTTGGAATTAATGTGCTTTTTGGGGGAACTGTACTGTCAGAAAATACTGAAAGGTAGAATATGGATAGACAAGCATGACTAGAATGATGGGAACTGAGGTTCTCATATGGTATAAAGAAAATATGAAAAGTCTCAGGTCTTTAGCCTGGAGATCGTCTCTCTTTTTAATGGGAAGGAGATGCAAGAGATGTGACAAGTGTCTGTACTGTATGAGACGGACTCATAATTCAAAAGATGGAATTATGACCAATGATGGCCAAAATCCAGAGGAACAGCTATTGGCTTAATTTCAAGAGCAATCTTTCTGATAATTAAAGCGATTCTACAGTTGAAGGAGCAGCTTGCTTGTCCTCCTCCCTCCCTTCCTTCCTGTTCAGTGTTAGAGACTGATCCCATGGCCTTACATATGCCAGGGTAGCTCTCTCTCTGAGTTGTGTCACCTCCCAACTTCTGGGCTGCTTTTCAAAATGACAAACCTCTTGTTGTTGAAAGTAAGCTAAGAGAGTTTGGGTGACCTTCTTTCCTTTTCCTTCCTCCAACGCCTATTCCTTATAGGACCTTATAACCTTTCATTCTATCTTGTCCCAAAATATTTTCTTTTCTCATTTCTCTTTTGATTTCCAAAGTAAACTCTTTTTCTCTTGCTTCTACTCCCCTCCCAGAACATTCTTAGCATCATTACTGGAATTGCCTTCCTGAGTTGCAGGCAGCCTGTGACACAGTGTCACAGATCTGGGCCAAGATTGCTGTGCAAACTGGCAGTGAGGGAAGGAAAGCAAGTGGATTGCTGCAGAGGCCAGAGATACTGCTGTTTCTCCCATCGAGGTGGAGTGATCCCAGCAGAGGTTCTTTAAACTCAGGCCATGGTGAAGACCACTTGTAACTCACAGACAGACATATGGGAACCCCAGAGCTGAGCAGCATTCCTCAAAGATGCTCTTTGGGAACTGAACTCAGAATCCCCTTCTAACACCTCTCAGGTACTTCCCTTTCCTTTTACAAAATGCAGTACCTTGCATTCAATCTGAAGAACTCTCTCTTATATTAAATGAAGGCAAGATCTATAACCACTGCATCTCTTCCTCAACTCTATATAGATGCACCTACATCTGGCATCAATAACATGGGGATCTCAGATTTTGGTTCGAGAATTCCCAGCTCCCCCTTTTCTCTACCCATTCACTCTTATATCTTCTAGGTTCCCTGTCTTTCGCCCTGAGTCGTCTTTTTATTTTCCTCTCATTTCCAAATCCCCAGTTTCTTTGTTGCCTTGCTTACCCTCCCATTCTTGACACCCAAATGCAAGGTGACAGGGGATGGCAAGGAAAGCTGACTTTGTCCCGTCCCCCAGGGCCCAGCTATACTTCATACCGTGAGCTGGGGACTGCTGGATGTTAGGGCTCTTGGGTATAGGCAGGCTACCAGGCATGGCAGTGACAATGGCTTGCTGAGGTGGTGATGGGCCTGACCGAGGCTCAGGCACACTCTTCTCCCCAGGCACCACTTCTTTCCAGTCATCATGGACACACTGCTGAGGCTGTTGGGGTAGATAGAAAGATCAGTCTGCTCATACAAGACTGCACTTTAAGAACTAACCCAGTATCTATGGAGCTTGTGGTAGCAGGCAAGGACCTTAAACGCAGTCATCCCCAAGTTAGGGAAAGCCCTGTCTTCTTTCTTGGAGTGTCCAGAGATAACTTCAACACTTAGTCTACCCAGAAAAACACCTGGGTGGAGACTGAGTTGTGGCTTCCCTGTTTGCTCCTTGCAGCTTGGGGTCAGCTTACTTACCACTGGCGAAGCAGGCTGTAGCTGTAAGATGACAGCTGAGGTGTGCTGGAACCTGCGCTGAGGGGTGTGGGACATGTCCTCAGGATGTCCATTCTGAGGCCCAGGGTCAGACGTGGGAAGGTGACATTGCTGACTGCTGCCAGGCTTGTGTAGATGGGCAGTGGGACACTGGAGTGGCAGGGTGGGTGTAGCTGGGCCTAGTGGCATGGTGTGGGCTTCTGAACTGGGCTGCAAAGCCACACTTGGGAGGACTGAGGCGAGCTGGGGTTGGGCCTGGGCTTGGGATGCAGGCCGTGGTGGCTGGGGCTGCTGCTGCAGCTGTGGCTGCTGCTGGATCACAAACTGGGACTGCAGGTGCTTTGATGATGGCTGTGGGAGGAGCTGATGTGGCTGCAGTTGAGCATAAGCTGGAGGGGAAAGACCAGGTTAGATAACACAGCTGGGCTGGATTCATCTCCATGTCCCTTGACTGCACACCTCTCAGCCACACAAAAGGCTTCCCAAACCCAAGGCCTCTGGCTTTCATCCCTTTAACTTTTCTGCTGGAGAGTGGCCTGGTCAGTGTCAGGGCCCAACAGCCTCTCTCTTCTAGATCTCCCACAGAAATATTTTTCCTAACACTCTGCTCTTTGGGCTGTCCCTCTTAGCTCAGTTCAGCACTCATTGCCTCTGGGAAGGCTTCCCACGTGTTCAAAAAAACCACTGGAGTCTAAGGGAGACAGATTTGCTTTCTCTTCCATGTCCTTCTCCATGCCTTTGATACCTGCAGTCTCCCCACTGTCCCCGCCTCCCCCACCAGCAGATACATGAGTTCTTGGATGCCTATACAGACAGACCAGGGCTGGACCACTATTTCATTTTTTATTGTTTAATTTTACAAATGGTGGGATCTAGGAGAAGCTATTTAACCTCTCTGGGCCTCAACTTCCTAATCTGAGAGTTAAAAATACAGTTTCTGTTCAGAAAGTTTTGTTGTAAGATGAAATGAGAGAAACAAAAAAACTCTACGAGAATAAAATGAAGAAAATGACATAATGTACATAGCACAATGCCTGGCATCTGTCATGTACATGCATTTCTATATATAATTATACATACTATTTTGGTCTTGGTTTAGGTTCTCAGAATATCTTGTACCTCTATCATAATATTTATGGTGGTGGATTATACTGTTTCTTATTTATCTTCCTTCCCAGACCATGAATTCCTGTGGCTGGAGACTTCAGTGTATGTCTTTACCCCAACCTAACATTGTGTCTGACTATAGATTGGTTTAGTTACAACAAGAAGATAAACTTGTTATCTTGATCTGGACTTATTTTTTGTTTTCACATGTTTTTGCTGTGTTGCTAACTTTTCTTTCCTCCATTTTAATCAGGCCGACTCTTTGAGGTAAGGACAATTTTGTTTTTTAAAGCAAAAAACACCTAGTTAGCATTTAGGTCCTGATTTGCGTATATTATGAATCCAGGAAATTCATCTTAGAGATTGTTTTTCTTCATGCAAATCACTGCCTGGTGGGATCCAGGCCAGCTCAGGATGAGCCAGCTCTGCTGCATCTGTCCCGTCTAAAGCTGGCCCCCAAAATTCCAACATCTGGTAAGCCACAGAAAGAGGACATGCCCTGCAAAGGTACAGGGATCCATAGCTGGAAACTCCCAAATGGATTTGTACACCCCAAATCTCACAATTAGGAAGGATAAAGGCCAATTCTGGGTCTCAAACTAATATTTTAAAAAAATGCTTGTGATGCTACAGGTACTCAGATCTCAAACTGAGTTAGAAAGAGGTAGTTTCTTTCTTGAATTTTATTATTCTATGTAAGCTTGCAAGCATCTCATCATTGCCTAACATGGAAGTCCAAGGAGGATGACAGCAAGAATGGAAAGGAAAGAACAGACACAGGAAGTGTTACAGAGGAAAAGCATAGCGGCCCTTGGTGGATGACTACTGTGCTGGAACCAGTGACAGGGAATCTGGAAGGTCCACAGAGTTTTCATCTAGATAACCCTAATAATGGACTTGGAAAACCTGTACATCAGTGTGGTTTTAGAGAAGGTGTGTTGGGTCTGAGGTGATTGCAGAACCTTGATGGAAATTACCATCAGGGATCTGGTGATTATAAATTTTCCCAGATCCAAGTCTAAGCCTTGTGTCCTAATTCTACATGGAAGAGTTCAGAGGTTAACAAGCAGTACAGATTGCTCATCAGGCAAACTTGCTGGATTTGATGGCCCATGTCTGTAATGCTACTACTCTTGGAGGCTAAGGCAGGAGGATCATAAGTTCAAGGCCAGCCCGGGCAAATTAGTGACCTGTGGAGAACTTATCTCAAAATAAAATAAAAGGTGGGGCTGGTGCTATAGCTTAGTGCAAATGTCCTGTATTCAATTCTTGGTACTGCAAAAAAATAAAAAATCAAGTGCTGGGCATAGTGGTACATCCCTGTAATTCCAACACTTCAGAGGCTGGGGAGGATCACTATAAGTTTGAGGCTAATCTGGGATACATAGTAAATTCAAGGCCAGCCTGAGTTACATAGCAAAACCCTGTTCATCTGAGGTGAGAGCTGGCAGTGTTCCAGTTAAGGGAAGCTAGGAGAATCAAAGGCATGACCCACTACTGCTGACTGTGTGGCCTGAGAGAAGGGCTTCTTTCTTATCAGAACTAGTTTTTTTGGTGGAACAAGAAATCTGGGCTAGTTGATCGCACAAATCTCTTCTAGCTCTACAAAGTTGATGGGCTGCCTATACTAGGAAAAGTTTTAAAATTAAGGCTTTATAAGGTGATTCTACATATTCAGAGCATATAAAATACAGTTAGGGGCCATACACATTATTTTTACCAAATGCTATAGTTTGAAACTCTTGCCAGTCTGTTAAAAGGTTGGTCCACAGGATGGTGCTACAACATTTAAGCCTCATGAACAGTCTTCAGGTATGCCATTGAAGGGCATCATAGAACCTCTACCCACCTTCGCTCTCTTGCTTCTTGGGTATGAGGTGAATGATGTTGCTATATCACGTGATCCTCCCATGATATGGGCCACAACAAAGACACTTGGACTGGAACCTCCAAGACTGTGAGCCAAAATAAATCTTGTCTAGGTTGATTACTTCAGGTATTTGCTTTAGTGATAGAGTTGAAAAACACACCAAAAAGACTGAGAAGGGAGCTGCTGGCTTCATGGCTGTGTTTTCCTGTGCTTCTCCTCCTACACATCCTTTCCCCTACTTGTGCTGCTCATAGAAAATGGGAGGCAATCATTTTAGGACAAATGGTACCACTAAATACTCAAGCTAGCAATAAAGCTTATAAGGCTTAAAGAAGTTCATAGATCAACCACCCAAAGGTTTTTCTTGAGGAGCATACATCATTAACCTTTTGAGGTTAATGAAAAACAAAGACCATGATTTAACCTCAGCATTATCCTGTGTCAAAATATTTATTTTTGGAGTAGCAATAATTTTCTAACTAATCTTCCTGGTTCCGGTTTTTTTCTGATGCAATCCAACTTATAGAGTACAAATTAATCTTCCTAGAGCACTGATCTGACCTCTAACTAAAAATCATCAGGATATATTCTCCTTTGTGTATTGTACAAAACCACTGGCACTCCATACCTCTGTACAATGTAAACTAGTATTTTAAGTTTTATTTCTTTGACCCAAGCAATCTTTATTATCCTATGTTCAGAATTTATGCTTTTTTGCATATTGTCAAGAGGTCATACATCAAATTCTACATATCCTTCCTTGACCATATAGCTGACAGGCCTCTTCCTTTCTCTAGACTGCTTCTGATTTTCTCTGCTTTCACTGATCTCAAAATGCACTGTGCTGGACGTTGGTGTGAACTCTAGAATCAAAGTGCTTAGATGTAAATTTTAGCTCTGCTGTCTACAAGCTGTGTGACATTGGGTGAGCTACTTGACCTCTGTGTTATCTTTAAAAATGGGGATTAGGATGATAGGTCTTATAGTTATTTTAGTAAATGAATAATCTCCTTTAATAGACAGAATTCATGTAACTCATTTGTTTTCCTACAAAGTACCTCAAATTTAGTAGATGCTTAATCAGTCTTGCTGAATAAATGAATGATAACACTCTATTTGTGGAACATGCTTATTCTAAAAAACTGGTTCTCTTGAGAGCCAAAACTTAGGTAAAATAGGTGTAACTCCATAGACTATTTGGGCCTTGCCAACATTCTGGCTTACTGCAGCCTTCCTGTAACTGGTCCTCTTATTGTACCATAACACTGTCTGTCTTCCTGCCTTTTAGGTCTCAGTTTCAGTGCTTCCACTTTTTGGAATCCATCCTTCCGCTTTAGTGATCTAAGGTGCAAGAGTCTTTGGCCCAGGCTCCATTTCTGTTCTGTTCTGTTCTCCCTGCTAGCCTTAACTCGCAATGGTGAGCGTTTCCTCAGAATTCCTGCATGCTTTGTTGACTTGATTCATTTATCACTTAACATGCATTCTCTTACACGTGTATTTCATGGATTCTGAAAAGTTGATTATTCCTTCCCTTTTAGCATCTTTGGAATTGGGATACATATTACAAGTTACATATTAAATTAATTGGCAGGGCTTATTTTTCTTAGAGTTAATAAACTAATGGTATATCTTATAATCAGAGATGTCCTAGGTTAAATGAAATGGAAATACTTTTATTTTTGTATGTATATGCTATCTTTCCAGCAAGATTGTATGCTTCTTTCTAAGGACAAGTAGCTATACCCCCTGCATGCCATTCTCTCTCCTACTGGAAAGTTCATTACTTGTAAGAAACACAAGGAATTGGTCCCATGAGACCTTGTTGGCAGTTGGAAAGTTTGGATCAACTCTTTCTGTCAAGAAGCAAAGAAGGGGCAGGTCTAGGGCTTCTATAAATTAGCACCCAATTCAGAGGAAAGATTGTAGGCAATACTCAACTTCCTGTCTGGTGCCCTAAACTTGAACTGCCTCCTTAGAATCTAAAGAAGCCAGTTCACTCACTGCTTCAAACCAGTTCATTGATAGCAACAAGAGGATTATGGTCTTCCAGGCAGGGGGCTGAATGTGAGAGATCATTGGCATGCCTCTTCACTGTATCTTCTGCCAGAATTTATCAATAATACTTGTAGCTCTCTATTGTTTCAAGGTTTCAAGTATGCAGGAAACAGCCCACTGGTCCAAAAATGCCCTGAAATATATAGGAGTTGCAATCATCTCTCTCACAGGTGGGAGGCCTGCTTTTCCTTTATTTTTCTAGGATCCCTTATAATTGACTATAGTTTAAAGTTAACTGGGTGAGTGAGGATGCCTGTGGGAGAGGAATGGCATATCTTTTTACTAACTACTACTTTTTAAGATTTAGCAGGTTAAGTCAAAATATATATTCAACTATTAATTCATCCAACAAACATTTACTAAATACCTACTAAAGGCCACCTACTATGCTTGGTGCTGGCTAAAACATGTCGCTAGAATCGATTATAGCATAGTAAAACAGACAGATGGTAGACAGAGACTCTTAGCATAGTTTTGTAAATACTATGATGGCAGATGAGCACAGATATTGAGAACACAGTAAAAGAGGATTCAGCTTTAGAAGGAGGGCAGGCAGGCTTCCCAAAGGAAGTGTTTAACATGATGCAGTTAGAAAGAAATAGCAAATATGGAGACTTAGAAGCACGAAACACTGTGCTACACTCCAGAACCTACAGAGCATCCTGTGTAGCTGTAGCCCAGGGTGTCTGCAGGAAAGAAGGCAGAAGAGGAGGCATTTTTAGCTTGTATCTAAGATGTACAGCACAGTAAAGAGGTTGCTCATCTCCAAAGATGCTTCATGTGATCAAGCATCAAGGGTGACTAAGATTAAAGTTGGCAAGAGGCCAGAGCTCCACGTAGAGAGAAATGGGCAAGGACATTCTTTATAGAAAGACCTAAGGCAAGCCACATGAATTTTCCATAATGCATTGCTCCTGGGCTTATGAATGGGAGGAATCTGAGATGGGAAAGGCAGCTTGGAGGGTAAGGGGGAGCTAGGTAATAAAAACAGGCTTGCCAACTGCTGAGTATTCTATGTGGGCCACATAAGCCTTAATGTCTTTGGACCTGCTTGGGAGCCATCTGGTAAAAGTACAAAAACCTCTGTATATACAGGATTCCTTGCTAAGCAGCTTGGACATTCAAAAAGAAATTAGTATCTGCATTTCTGCCCTGTCCTGCCATTGGCAGAAGGATGGAAATATAGTGAAGTAGCTGTGAGCATGGGTTTTAGAGTCAGACAGATTTGGGTATGAGTTTGGCTGTACTAACTATAGGTTATGCAACTTTAGACAAATTGCTTCATCTCTCTGGATCTTGACTTCCTGTTCTGCAAATGGTGGTACATATCATATAAGGTAGTTGTTAGGATCAAACGGTGCTGCCTGGTACCTAGCAGATGCCCAGAAAATTGTAGCTATTCTTAAATTTCTGCCTGTTCTTTTACATTGCTTTGAATATCTCAAATAATTTTTTATAATTTGAATCTCATTTATTAAACCAGGCAGAGTCCTCATTATACTGTACAAGCAGGAACTGGAGTAATTTCCAAGTGACTTTCATGATCAGCAGGTTGAAGGAAAACTGACTTCATTTATAAGATGAGATGTGATGACTTGCATATGACAAATGCCCCAACTGCTGACAGCTGAGTGAATTACTTGCCAGCAGAAAGCACAAATGAATGGAGCAAGCCTATGAATATGACTTGCAAAGTGTTGAGGGTTTTGCAGGTAATCTTGGAGGAACAGACAGTGGGAGTGGTGAGTTCTGGCAGAAGGTAGGGAGGCAAAAGATCTATGACAGGTCAAGCCAGCCTCAAAGGGGTAGGAATGAGAGAAGAAATAGGAGCATATTTGCTTGGCTGTAACATAGGGTCTGCATTAAAAAGCCATACCAACCAGGCTGGCATGGTAGGCAGCATGGGGAGAGTGTTGCAGTCCAAGAGCCAGTCCATCAGTGGCATCAATATGCCATTTACGGGACCCTTACAATGGACTAGGAATACAGATATAGCACAAGTTTCTACAGTCCCAGAGGAAGATCTTTGTAATGACAGTGAGTAGGGTGTCTTGGAGATCAGTTAAGTCTCATCCAGTCAGGAGGCCTTGAGCAAAGCATTTGAAAGGAAGTACAGAAGATATCAGAACCTGATGATCACCTGATGATAGACTGGGCAATGACAGGTGGTGGGAACAAGGAGGGAAAGAGAATGGAAGTCTATCCTGACTTTTTCTGGGCTGGTCACTTTCAAAGGCTTCCTATTTATCTGTATGGTCTATGGGAAATGTGACCACCTCTGTTTTATAGATGAGAAAACTGAGATTTAGAGACTAAGCAACCTGATCATGATCATTAAACTTTAATGAAAATGGTCAGAAACCAAGATGACTGCCAAAGCCCCTGGCTTTCCTTCTGGAATACTCTGCCTCTCTAGGGAAGGAAAATGAAGTCAAAGTGCCTCTGAGCTTGTGTAGCTGGATTCCAAGAAGACTTAAGGACTGTGGACAGTAGTTAGGAACCTGGGAAAGCAGACCTTTCTGTGGAGGAGGACTTCTGGGTTTTTGTTTTGTTCATAAATTCTCCAAATAAAAGAAATTTGTATGTAAGTGGGCTAATACCTGAGTAGAAATATCCTATAAATAGTGGAAAAATGGGGGAGAGGGTATGTGGGCAGGGACAGACGCATACTGAGAAGCCACTGGCAGAGAGGTGGAAGGTGTCTGAGAGGCGGGAACAGACAAGCTCTTCTAAGGGTGAAATATGAAGGGATACAGCCAGGGGACGGCCAGTGCCAATGGGAGTAAGTCAAGGGAAATGGCAGGAGGAACAGGTCTCATCTACTACACACGTGGTCACATGTGCAGCTGGCCATTCCAGCCCCAAGTGCCTCTCAGTGCTGCTGAGACAATTCTTCTGTTTCATTCTTGAAATTGACTAATTTTTCGGAGCACAACTCAAATTTCCACAGCCTCTATTAGAATTGGAGCTCTTGTCTATGGAACTCTCATGATGCTTAGCATAATGGCTGACACAGAACAGTTGCTAAATGAATATTTGTTGAGCCAAACTGAAAATTAAAGGAACAGAAACTTTGAAGATGGAAGCTAATTATTCTTTCTGAGGCATACCTTCTTCATTTGGGCAATGGAATTCACAAGATATGTAGGTAAGGCTGTTAGTACAGTATCTGAAACATTGTTGTTCATTAAGTAGTAATTATTATTATTAACTGGCAGAAACCAGGGAGGTGGTATAATAGAAACCTATGAAGGCAAGAACCAGTGCCGAAAAATTCCAAGACCTTTGTGCACCACAGTTGGTTTTTCTTTTTCTTACACAAAAGACACAGACATGCACATGCACACACACAGAGTCACACAGTGAAGGATGTTCAGCACTATATAAAACTCTTCCACTGATAATCTTCTGAGTGGCCTCCCTCTATATAAAAGTAGATTCTTAGTGTAGTAATCTAACTTTGGGCCTATAACGGATAACTGAAGTGATCTTTATGACTGAGGTCATAGTAAGTTGATGGGAATTTTGATTTCCAGCTAGTTAACAGGCCTAGCTGTATGCCTTGTTGTTTATTGAATTCTTTAAGTAAAAAGTATATCTGTCCCACATTTTGGTGGCTGCTTTAGGAGGAAAATACTGTACCAAAGAATCTTGGACAAACAGAAATCTCTGCTCCCTGACATAAAATATTTTCTGTGATAAAAACAAAGCAGCTATGTGGCAGGCCTGCCCAACAGAGAACTCTTCCTTCAGCTGAGACTTGAGGTGGGTTGAGGATACCAAACAAAAAACTGGCATCTGGAGACATGGCTGGGTGAAAGCGCTCAGGGTTTTCAATGATCCATCAGCTCCCTTTTATCTCAGCATTCCCGTTCTGGTCAGCAACTTTCTCCTCACCTCTGGGCCAGAGTGTCCACCCAAAACCTAGAGTTTGTCATCTAGAATGACAAAGCTTCCTAACTGGAACCATGGCACAGTTCCTTTGGGACTTGGCTCCCCAAGGGACCCTTGCAGCCTGGTCCTTGGTGGTCCCATCCTTCTATCACTCTGGAGGGGAAAGCCAGCCCTTTGCTTCCCTCTCTGAAGCCCAACCTCTTAGGTTCAGCTCTCCTCCCCTCATCCCCTCCCCCACACCCATCCCTTTTCAGGGCATAAGGGACCTTTTCTATTTGCGGAGCCTAAAGAAGCTGGTTGCCAAGGTGACAGGAGCGGGGGAACAGCAGGGAGCTTGCCATGGGGGAGGGGCTTTGCCCCCAAACAGCTGTCAGTGGGAGCAGTCCCAGAAGGGACTAGAGAGTTTGCCTCTCTGGGAGGAAATACCCCCAGGAGGACACATTCCTCTTGACTACACTGTGCCCCCGCCCAACTTCCACCCACCTTCCCTCCCCATCCAGAGGCTCCACTGACTACCTTCCCTGGGGGCAGGCAGCTGGCTCAAAAAAATGCTCAGATAACAAACAAAACATGCACAGTGCTCTGCATCTAGCTCTCTCCCGCACACACACAAGCATGCTCTTCCCTCTGGCTGCCTTCTCCCAGGCTCATTCACAGTGAGCTGGCAGGGCAGGAGGCCAGAAGTCACCTTTGCCTCGGAGCTGAGGATCCCAAGACAGGTGCTGCTCCAGAATCCCCCCCTCCCCAGGTCATAAGCATAATTCCAGAGGCCCCAAGCAGACCTACCCCTAGGAGGCTTCCCCCAGCTGCTTTCCATTCCGGAGGTGGGAGTGGGGGAGTGGAACCAAGGGCCTACAGGGAGAAAGGGGTGGGAGAGAAAGGAAGAATGGAATGGACAGTGGGAGGCAGGAACAATGCAAGGCTCACTGGTCTGTGTGTCTGGGGTGAGGGTCTTTGTAATTTTCAGCTCACAGCTGCTCCATAGAAAGTTGTGTGGGGCCACTGGTCTCTGTATTACATTATAGCCACATACTGTTAGTCTCAAGGCACTGGCTCTCAAGCCTGTCACTGATTGGTGTTTGTTTTTTACAGCTCAAGAGGAGAGAGCCTACCACCTGCCTCTGCAAATCAGAAACTGCCTGAGGATCCCAAGGCTCAGCTTGTCAGGAACTAGAAAGTCCAAGAAGGCCCCAAATCATGAGAAAATGAGAGAAGCAACCTGACTTGATGATTAAAGGGCACAGAAGCTGACTCTAGTGGATGTGGAGTCTGGTCCCAGTTCTGCTGCTCACTCCCTTGGTGACTTCAAGGTCTTTATATGAGTAAAGGGAACCTCCATGGGTCTGAGTTGCCATCTCTGTAACATGCATAAAAACACCTCCACAGCAGATCTCTTTTGAAGGATTAGAGAAGTGGTATGGATGAAGTGCCTTGCGTAGTAGCCAGCAAGTGATGGACTTGCCCCTGCTGTTGGTCCCCTTTCTGTCCAGTTTTCTTGAGACCCTCTAGATGTCTCACAGCCATTAGAGTGGCCCAAGGATTGCTTCTGAGTGGTCCTCAGAATCTGGGGGCTAGCTTAAGTTGAGAGAAGCTACATTCTGGCCAGTCAGGACTGGAATTCTCAGGAAGTCTTGAGTCCTGACACTGAGAGTTCGATGAAAACGTAGCAGTAGTGTGGCCTGGAGGGCTTGGCTCCAGCCCAAGCTGTTATTAATACACTATAAGATCCCTGAATATTCATCCTTTAAACCTCAGTTTCTTTTTCCATAAAAGGAACAGGCTGGTCCAGTCTCTGGAGAAAGCAATGCCAGACAGTGAGAAACACTCTGGACCACAAGGCCTCTGAGGGGAGGGGCCCGCCTCAGTTCAGCAGTGACCACAGGCAGGCAGACTTGGCCCTTGTGATTTTTAAAATTTCAAAAAGGTGAACAAATGACTTCAGCTTGATTTCTTTCCATCTAAGTGATATGAGCTCTACTTGTGTTTCCTCTCTGTCTGGGATGCTTTTTCCGCCAAGTTATTGCTCATCTTCTAGGACTCAGGTGCCAGTCCTGATGCAGCCTCCTTGGCAGTGAGCTGACCGCACTGTACCTAATGCAGGGTTAGGAAACTGAAGAAAGGTACTCACATATCTGGCTCTGCCCCTTTGATTTGTACACCGTTAGATAAGAAATTGTACACTGGCCGTCTTGGTTTTAACCCAATGACAAGCATATAGTATGTCCTCCAGAAAATGAAACAAAAAGCCAAATCAAAACAAAACACACAAATTGGATTGCAAAATGGTCTGGATGAGGACAGAAGGTTAGAAGTTTTCTCGGAGATGGGACCACAGTGATTCTATCTTTAATTCCAAGCCATTTATTTCTGTGGTATAATGACTTGGTCTTGTTTCCTAGACTGATAAATCTGACTTCTAGAGCTCTTGGCAGATTTTTCATTAATCGCTGCTTGTAACAGGCAGTGCTGGGAAAAGCTTAGCAGGCAGGAAAGCTAGCCGGAGGGTACTGATTCATCCCCTTTGCAGAACTGGCCTTACACATAATTAGCTGGATTTTTTTTTTTCATCTTCTAGATCTAGTCTCAAGTGTCCTCTCACTGGAATGCAGCTCTTGGCTAGATGGCTCCTCTGCTCCTGCAGTGCTGAGCTTAGCTCACAGAGTAGTACTGGTCACACTGTGCGGCCCTGTACCTGCCTGTCTCCCCATCCTGTGCCCTCTTATCTCACTGATGTCCACATACCCAGAATTTGCAACGTGGGCATTGTTTGCCTAGGTGTGCCTGTGAAATGATAAGAAAATGAACTTTCACTTCCAATCTCCCTGTATGGTTCTTAAGTACCTGGCTGGTCTCTATCCTATTCCCCGACTCTTAGGAAATTTCAAAATAGTCTGCTGCCAGCCTCCATTGACTCAAGATTAAGAACTGTGCCTGTGTGCTCCAAGGTCCATCACTGTGCCACTGTGTAGAAGGACTTGTTGTTCCTGTCCCTGTGGCTTTCTTAAAGTTAGACTCAAAGCATGTAACAGAATCCAGAGCTGACATACACCTCAAGATTAGGAGAGGGACGGAGACATGTGGCTAGAATCTTAGCACAACCATTATAAAAGGAGGGCTTGGAACCTTGCTCCTGACTCAGAGTCCAGGTTCCTTCTTCCCAAGGCCCTTACCTGGTGCAATAAGGGGATGGGTGGCCACAGCAGGGATCGTCCGGCCGAGGCCAGCCCGGCTCTCCACACTCCCTGGCAGGCTGCTGTTGCTATCTCCTTTCTTGAGTGGCTCCATCACATTGTCAGCTAAGCCAGGCTTGGCACCTGCAGGAGAACCCTGAGCAGTGTTTCTGCCCTGTGATGGGGTAGGCAGAGGCTGGCTACTGCCTGGTGTAGGTTTCAGGGCCAAGCTGGGCAGGACAGGCTGAGTGGGGGTAGGGCCCGAGACTGCTGCAGCTGGTGTCTGCTGTGTTCGGAGGGTCAGGTTCTGTACCTGGAAGAGAGGGGTCTGTGGGAGTCCAGAGAATGTGGGTAACAATAATGCCAACACATAACTAAGAGAAGAAGTTTGGGATGGATTCAGGGATGTCCTGAACATGAGAGTGGATTATAAAATCAGGGTGAAACATGAGGGGAGGGGGAGGAAGAAAGGGGGAGGTGAGAGAGAGACAGAGACAGAGACAGAAAATATTAGTAAATGAGTTAGGGGCTGAAAGAGGAACCAGGAGCAGATGGAATGTCAAAAGAGGACAAGAAAGATCACCAACGATTGGGTCCACCAACAGAAGGTCCTGAATTCTGACAAGTGACTGCTGTCCAGGCTGGGCAGGCAAGGGTAGGGAGGCCAGGATCTCTCACTGCTGCTAGCGTCTGCCCTCCCCCAAACTATCAAAATTGGAAGCATACACCAAGAAATAATCTCCAGATATAGTGGAACATGGGGCTTCCCATGCTGAAAAAAAGCAGGGCAAAAGTGAAAGTTAACTGACTAGTAAGGCCACCAGGCAAAGGATTATCTTGTCCTTAGAATAAGGTTAACTCTCGGGCTTTTGGACAGCTGGCATACTTATTCAGCCTGGTCCTTGGCGCCCTCTGCTGGACATGAGGTGGCTGTGCCAGATTCTCACTCCCTGGCTACCCAATTCTCCAGCTCTGGCTCCATTTTGGACATGGGGTGCTGAGACAGAAGCGAGAAATTCTCAATTCTCCTTTCTCAGCTGCCCACAGGATCTTCACAGCCATAATAGCAACCACGTGCTCCCAGCAAAAGGCAGGTATCCAGGAAACATTCTTATTTTCCCTTCTGTGCTGCTTCCCCCGATTCCTAGCAGTGCTGGCATATGTAACCAGAGTGGAATTTTCCACTGGCAAAGCAGCAACAATAAAGCAAGTTATCCCCTAGATGAGATGGGGTACTAAAGCCTCAGAATTCTGTCCTTTGATTCCTAACTATATTTGAGAAGAAAATAGAGTCAAGGAGGGCTGAGCCCGTAAGGATGGTAATGAAAGAGCTAGTCTGGGAGCACTTGCTTCCCCCTAAAAGAACCCAGCCTTTCCAAAGACTCAAAGCTCCCCAGAGCTGCCCATCCCCAGCATCGTTCCCTTCTACAGAGGTAGCCAGCCCCTTGCCCTCCCACAAGCATGGAATCCTCACCTGGGCCGGGGTAGGGGGCCGCGCGGGGGAACCAGTGCCGAGCTCAGGCTGCACAGTAGCGACGGTGGCCGTGGGCGTGAAGATGAGCTGAGGGGACAGAGAAACAGTGCCGCCTAGGCTCCCAGCTACCTGTACCAGGTTACCTGGCTGGGCATGGAATCATAGGAAACGAGGCGCCTTTTACCTGCCCAGTGTGAGCTCAGCCACGGGGCAGAACAGTTTAGCCAAAGCAGACATGACGATGGCCAGGGAATAAAATAGGAAGGCGAGGAAGGGCAAGAGTACCAAGGACTGCTTCAATGTCTCAAGAGGCTGGTATCATGCTGACCCGGGCTGGGCAATGATGGTGTGGGGTCTGAGAGTTATTCTGGGGCTTCAGAACCCTGCGAGGGTTCATCCTGTGGGGAATCAATATTCCTGGGACATGCTGAAGTTACTCTCTCCTCAAAGTCCTGGCAAGTAGGGACCTTGGGCAGATGCCTGAGGGTTATTTCCTAGTTCTAAGTTACCCACCCCAGGGCTCGGTTGGAAAAATACTCTCCTTTAGAAAGATTCAGATCAGATGTATGCTTTTTCTATTCAAATTTTTACTCAGGGAGTTAAAGCCAGAAATGTCGTAAGAAGGTAGCCTGGATCAGTGGTTGCATCTCGGTCTCATCTGGAGGACACAGGTTATTATGTTCCTTGCCTGGCATTTCCATCTGCAGGTGGGTCTAGCTCTGTGTCCTTGTGGATAAACTGGCGCCAAGGTGCTTTTCCTGCAGCTCTGTGTTGAAGCATCTGGGCTTGCTCCTCTTTGTGTGTGTATGTCTTGATTTTGGGGGGCAGTAGGCAGGTGTCAGGACCGTAGGGGCGGGCTGCTGGGTGAGATGTGAGAATGACTAAAGTGAAAGTGCAGGCAGATTTGAGTGGGGTCATTGTGGCTGGCAGTTTGCTGGGGAAGCAGAAGTCTATTTTATGCTGTGTGTCCAAGAGGTGTTCCCTGGGAATGGAGATGTGCCTCAAATGATGAACTCAGAGCCATGAACAAAGGCATGGGAACAGGACCAGAAAAGCTCCAACTGTCAAGTTCCAGACATAAGAGAAAAGGGACAGGCAGGACTGCATTGTCTCCAGGATGATGTAATGAGGAACCAAAGGGAAAACTTCAGCATGGAAAGTATTAGATATGATTCTGTGCTTGGATTCTAACACAGTAACACTGTATGTTCCTGCCTCCTAAGGAGAATGTTGCTATGGACCCAGGAAGCTCTTCTGAATCTTAGAGGGTCCTTTTCTTTTCTTAGGCACAGGTGTAAAGGAGAGATTCCAGTAGCAGCAGCAGCAGTAAAAGTAGCTGGCTCTGAAGCTTACCCCCTTGGGCTACAATACACGTTTGGCTCCTAAGCCAGAGGTGACCAGTCCTTAGTGGCCTGCCACTGCGGGGGGTGATCCCATTTCTGTGGAGCACCCAGTATCTCTGCATCTCATCTTACAGTGTGAGTGCTGAGGACCATCTGAGCATGGAGTCCTGCACTGTCTACCTTAATTGGTTCTGAAGAGCAGATTCTGATACTTGGTTTCACTCCAGAAGAAGGAAAGGAAGCATCGTGGGTAGTTGTTTTAGCTTGGAACCCATCTTCCATGAGTTGTGGAGCTTACAAAACCATGTCCCTCTCAGCCTTTGAGGCCCACCCTTCTTTATTCTATGCCCTTTTGCTTGCCCCCAGCCTCTCCTGCTCCACCCTCCTTCTTTAGTCTCCTAGCTCCCAGCTTCTGTCCTTGCCCTCCCAGTCTCAGAGGCAAATCCAGGCTGTGGGTACTCACCATCTGTGCCCTGAGATACATCTGTGCTTGGCTTGCAGTCAGGGCTGGAGAAGATGTGTTGCCCAACAGCACAGCCTGCTGGGCAAGGCCTGAGGCTGTGGCTGAATTGACACTCTGGGCCCGGTTGATGAGCTGGGCTGCAGCCGGAGAGGCTGCCAGGTTGATCTGGTGAGAGACACACATGAAGTAGAAAACAGGAAGTTCTGAGGGGTGAGCTGTGTCCACTTCATCTATTTATTGCTCTTCTTCCTTTTCTGCCCGTTGGTTTTACAGTCTCCTTTAAGACCATCTCTGGTCCTTGAGCCTGGGAATTTCCTTCTGATCTGGCTGCAGAGGATTGGTGTAGAGAGAAAACTGAGCTAACAACAGAGCCTCAACTATGGCAACATGACGCGGTGTTAATATAAGGGTTGGAAAGAGGCCGTGCACTTTTTTCCTCTTGGCAAGAGCAACAGACTCCAGCCATGATTCCATGCGGCTAAGGATTCCCTACAAATGGGTCCAGGAACTAATGAGCATTTTGGGCAAGGAGGAAGGAGCCAGTCCAGAGATGTGGAGTCTGCTTGCTACCCTACCCTACTCACCGAAGATGACTGGGATGGGGCCTGTGCAGACACACTGCTGCTAGAAGTACTCCCTTGTCTGTTGGCCACCAGGCTTGCCTGGAGAAGAACAAACGCCTGTCACTAGTGTCTCACTCCCCACCGCATTCTCCCAAGTCATTCATTCTTGGGACTTCACCTTCAGGAACACCCCAGACCATGGTGAAGACAGCAGCCTCTGCAGCAGTGCCCCCTGCCTCACTCATGTAGCCCTGAGTGAAAGCCCAGGCTGTGCCTACCTTGGAGGGTTGCTGAGAAGACTGAACACACAGGGTTGGCACTGAGAGCACTCCGACTCGCCCCCATTACTACTGCTCAGCTCTCCACAGTGCTCCATCCCACCTGCTTCACCCAAATGTCTGGCCTGCCCTTCTTCCCTTGGCTAGCTTCTTCTCATCCTTCAACCATCAGCTTCAATGTTACTCTAGCACCCAGGCCTTCCCTGACCACCCAGCACCATCCTCTGTCCTTCATTTGTAGCATTCTGTTCTTGTCAGTCATAGCTGATCACAACTTAGTTAAATAGTTTGTTTCCTTGTCTATTTAGGTTCTTGTTTACTTGCTGTCTCCTAACTCTAAAGCTCCAAAAGGACAGAGTCCACAGTATATCCATGACAAGTGTTGTACACAGCAGGTACATCAGACATTTTGTTAAATGACAAATAAATGCATAAATGAATGTGTTGTTCTCAGTCATAAGGAGGAGAGGGAACAATGACAGACAGGCAACTTCTTGTGAGTTGTGGTCCCTCTCTAGCAGGGTGGTGGTGTGGGTAGAAAAGGGGCTCTCTCAGCACCCCTTCCTTGGGCTGCCCAGGACAGAATTACTCTACTTATTAGCTCTGTGACTGACCTGGGCTCTGTCCTTCACCCACCAATAGGACAAGATGGCAACGGTGCCAGCTTTGTGAGATCCCTCTGAGGACTTTAAGAAGGTTGTATGGGCCATACTTTCCTCCTTTTCCTGTCTCTGCCACAACTGTAACTCAAAGGAGCCTTGGTGCCACGTTCCCTGTGATTCTCACCTGCTGTACAGCTGCCAGGCTCTGGAGCTGGGCGCTGCTGAGCTGCTGCTGCTGTAAGGCAGCTGTCTGCAACATGAGGTGCTGCTGCTGAGCGGCATACATCTGCTGCAGGTACTGAGCTGCTGTGCTGGGCTGCCGGTGCAGGGCCTGCTGGATCACCTGGGAGGGAGGCAGGGGGGCTGGAGCCATCGCTTGCCACACCGCAGGTCCCTCCTGCATCATGGCTTGTCACCTCAGCTCTTCCTGGCTGCTCAGAGAGGTAGTGCAGACTTGTGACTACCCTTCTAATCCATCACCCCTCTTGGAGTGGGAGGAGGGGGCAGGAAGACAGTTGTTTGTAGAACTTTATGTTGTCTATTGAGCTCCTCTTAGGCTCCTCCCTGACAGGTCTGCTTCTGTGCCAGCTGTCATAAGGAGGGTCAAAGCAGACACTGCTACTCTAACCTACTCTTGGGGAGAGCTAGGCAGGCACTCCTCTCCTCCATCACTCTGTAGACCAGATGAAGGTAAAGCTGAACAAGGCAGAGCACTGAAAGGGACTGGGAAGAAAAGCCAAGCCACATGGGCCTGCTCCAGGTTCAGCAGCAGCAGTCAAATTCGTACTCATACCAAGGCAACTAACAGACCCCGGGAGCAGGGCTTCAAGTCTGGCCTGCTTCTGCTCCCCAGGTTCTGCCCCAGCTCCCTGAAAGTCCTCTCAGCTGGTGAGGTGGCTTTGGCCTTCCAGAGCATGCCTACACCACAGGGATTACACATTCCACTTTGATTCTCTCTTCCCTTTTCTGACCTTTGCTTCCTCATTCATTTTAGCTACTGCCTCCCATTCTCCGGGCTTACTGCTATTCCATCCTTCTTAATGGTGAACAGCAAAGTTACTTGGAGTAAATATTTCTCAGCTGCAGTTTCTCTTTTCTGCCCATGTTATCCAGGAACTGAAAACAGATTTTGTTGTGATTAAGAACACAGGTGTGGGATGAGACAGCTAGGTTCAATCTTTTTGTCCAATGGCTTTGGACAAGTTATGAGTTTCTCTGAGCTGGCTCCATTCTATCACTTGTATAATGTGCTTAGTGAGAGCCACTCTCATAGCTGGGAAGAAGATGAATGCACAAAATCTTAGTGCAGTGCGGAGCAGATGGCAATACATGATCATGTTTGCATTCTGGGACAGTGTGTAGTCACCTGAGAGGCTGGTCTTGTGAATGGCACTTTGCAAACTTTAGTAAAGCAAGAAAAAACGTTTCAAAGACAAAGGACTGTTTGGGGCTTGTTTTTGGCCTTCTGCCTTTGGGAAACTTAGATCTCTTCCTTACAGAGCAGGGTTTGGCTTGTGGTTGAGCAGGCCCCTGTCATTTTTGGTATTTATCATTTTTTACTTGTCTGCTCTTTATACCTTTACAAACCTATTTTTACAAATCATCCTCAGGAATCCACACCATCAGGTAATATAGGGCCTTTTTGTCCCCCTGATTTGCAAAGTATTCTCCCTGTCACCAAACTTCCTTGATTTGCCCCCCCCCCTCCATCACTTCCCCTCCTCATGTACACATTTATTCCCACAAACTTGCTCCTTTTTGCTTACTCTGGAGTCCTCCAGGCTATTCGCCAGGGCTGGCCCTTACCTTCTCCCAACCAGCCCTTTAGATGATGCATAGAATTCCTGGACAAATCAGAATCTTACCTGCACAGTCTGCCGGTCAGGAATACCACTGTACACAGAAATCTGGGGTCCTGTGGGGCGGCCATTGCCACCATTGCTGCAGCCACTGCTGCTGTTGGCCCCACTGCTGCTTGTGGCACCGGCACAGCTGGACGTGTGTGGGACCGGCAGCTCATTCTCCATGGCCTACAGGGTGGCACAATCAGGGTGCTCAGGTGGTAGAAGAGCAGCCAGATGCTAGGAGGGAAGAGCCAGGAGGGAAGTGTTTAGCCAGTGCTTATTAGAGAATGGCCATGCTGCTGGGCCTCTATTCAGATGTTTTACATTGTGAATCCAACCACCATTGGGTGGAAAATATTTGGAGAAAAAACTACCTGTATTGAACATGTACAGACATTTTTCTTATCATTATTCACTAAATAATGTGGTATAACAACTATTTGCATTGAACTTATTTTGGACTAAGTAGTGTACATAATCTAGAGATGACATAAGTATATGTGAGGTTGTACAAAACTACACGATTTTATGTAATGGACTTGAGCATTTACAGATTTTGGTGTCTTCCAGAAGTGCTATAACCAATCCTCTGTGGACAATGGAGGACTATATGGGCATCAGTCCCCCAGCTAGCCCATCATGGGGCTACCTGTGAACTGAGGTTTCAAGACACAGTTGCCACCAGAAGGACAAGGCCAGACTCGGTTCATTAGGTGAGGCTCTAAATCAGGTCTTCCCGATTCTAAAGCCTGTCATCTGTACCTTCTTCCAGCAGAGGTAAAATGAGAAAAGGATATAGATTTTCTGTATTTTTCTTCCTGACTGTGATCTTAGGAATTATACTGCCCTGTTAAGCTTTGAATTTTTGGAATGAGAAAATGAACTTCAAATAATTTATTGTTGACCCATATGCCAGATGGTGACCAAAGTAGGACTAAAAATCTAGAAAATGGGCCTGGTGGTGCACACCTGTAATCCTAGTACTCTGGAGGTTGAGGTAGGTTCAAGTCTAACCTGGGAGTGACTCAGGATAACCTTGACTAAAAAAAAAAAGTTAAAAAAAGTTTAAAGCCTAGAAATCTACCTCAGTGCGACGGCCCTAGACTCAACCTCCAGTACTGGAAAAACAAACAAACAAACAAACAAAAAAACAGAATGAGAGAAAAGGCAAATCAGCTATTCCACTTCTAGGCATATTCCCACAAGAACTGAAAACATCATACCACAGTGATATATGTACACCCATGTTTATAGCAGCATAATTTGTAATAGCCAGATCTTGGAAACTACCTAAGTGTCCATCAACTAAGCAATGGATAAAAAAGTTGTGGTATTTTTATACAATGGAGTACTACTCAGCTATAAAGAAAGATCACATTGAGATATTTATAAATAAATGGGCGCAGCTTGAGACCACACTCATAAGTGAAATAAGTCAAACTCACATGTATAAATATTGAAGTTTCCCTAGTGTAAGGAATGGTAAGAATACATAAAAGTATGTGGTAATCATAATTCCCCATTATATTGCTTTGAAGCCTTATAATGTTTCCATTCATTAATTCAAATGGTTTTACTCTGGGTTTGATTTTATTGTCTGTGATGGTATGAACAGTTATTTTGAAAGAAAACAAGACAATATAATAGCTACTGCTGATTTACTATCATCTTGTTTTGAAGTCCCATCAAGCTTTTGTTATTCTGTCTCCATCGATTTTATCATGTTATATCTTATTGGATTTTATTATATGTAATAATATAAACAAAATTTTTTATAGACAAGGAGATAATATAGAAACCATTGTTCATTTTTTATTAGTTGATTCTAAATACCCTGTAATACTTTCATTCTCTTGAATGGTTTTACACTGTCATGTTATGTTTGATGTTATAGTATACAAAGTTACACTCAAATATTTCAAGGAAAGAGATATTTGGTAACTACTGTTATGTCAGGTTATCCTCTGGTAAAAAACTATGTTGCTTAAATTGTTCTGTTCTGACCTGTGTTGTTGTGTCCTCTTTTATCTTAATCTCCTTTTTAAATTTTTTTAAATAAATTTTTTTAAAATAAAAAAATTAAAAAAAAGAATCTGTTAAAAAAAATAAAAGGCAAATCAGGAGGTAATAAAGTAAATGGAAATGTTACTGTTTTCAAAGCCAGAAAAACTTTGACTAAGTTTGGAGTCTCTGTTTTCTTTATTAAGTACTTAGTGAGTACATTTTGAATGTAATGCAGAGCAGAGAACTTGAGTAATTTGGTTAAAATTTCAGGTTTTGTCATATAACAGAGCTGCTGAAAAAAAAATTTCAGGTTTTGGTAAAAAGGACTTAGGTTTGAGTCCTAGCTTTGCACTTTGTAGCTGGGAAATCTTGGCCAGGCACACTTGTCTGGCATTCTGTTTATTAATGTGCCAAATGTGATAGTCTATGGACTGTTGCAAGCATAAAATAACTGTGATACACAAAGTGTTTGGCAGGTGTCAAGCACCCAGTGAGAGCTCCATAAACACCAGCTGTTGTTGTGGCTATAAATATTGCCCCAGTCTGGTTCCCACTGCTTGGTTCTAACAGACCAGGCTGCTCCCAAGGTGGAACTGGCAGAGACTCTAGAGACCTCTTGTCCCAATCATTAATGAGGGCCAGAAATGCCTTCAGAAATTCCACCTCCTGTGGTCCAGGTATACAGCTGGAAACTGTACATTTCTCTGAGGCTATATACCTGGTATGGACAAAGCTTAAACAAGAACTGAGTGGTAGGGAAGCACACTCAGATTTAAGGTCAAGTTCCTCTTCATTCATGCTATTTCTCAAATCCAAATTTCTATGCATAAGATTTTCTTTTTACTCATTCCTTCCCACAATGTAACAACAGTGATTGTCTGGCACCCAATCGTAGACATTTAATCCCCTGCTTGTAGATCACACCCATTTAATAAAAGAGCATATAATTTTTCACATTAAAGAAAAGATTGATTAGTGCAAAGACCTCAGCAGGCGTTAGTGTTCTGTCCTGTTGTCATCTCACTAATGCTGCCAAGTTTGGGGGATGCCATTCCTCAAGCTGCTTTCTTCACTCAGTGGGGTTCACTGTGAGTTAGAAAAATATAGGTGAAGGCTAAAAAAGGTAGAAGTGTTGGGAGTCAGAAAATCTGAGCCATTGCCAGGTGGTGGGTGGCAAGTTGAGTTTTACTTCCAAGGTGGTGTGCTAACCTGCAAACTGTGCACATGACCTGGGTGTCTGTGCAGAGATTTCCCCTAACATTTCTATGTGTCTGCTCTGACTGTCACAGGGCCAGGCCACTGTCATGAATTGTCTTTGTTCTGAACTGCAGTGGGCCTCATTATGGCTACTCACTTGTTAAGGGTGTGTATGATGATAATGCCAGAATTCATGACACAGCAAAGTCAGCAAATATTTCCTGTGCCCTGCTGTGCAACATCTACCTTATCTATGCTCCAGGGAGGGAAGGACAGGCAGGGTGGAAAGTAATAGAAAGCATAATTTCTGACCTTGCAGAAACTGAAAACTAGTTGTCCAGAGGAGATTCAATTGCAGTTTTAAGGATCACTGAGCAACACATCAGGAAATGATAGTTTTTTTTCCAAATATGGAATACCCCTTAGGAACCCAAGATCTTTTGGTTCAGGGCCTTACCTCTCTTCTCCCAAATACTGACCAGCATTGCATTGCACTTCTTGCTTTTCATCCTGTTCTAGGAAATCTTAGCTAAAGCATTCATAACAAATAAAATGGAAAAATAGACTAGCGGTCACAGCAAATTAAAAAATACATATTAGAGGATTGAGCCTCAGGTATACTTTTTTCTTTTGCAGCAGTGGGGCAGACACTCAACATGCTAAAAACAGCATGGCATCCCTTTACAGAAAACCACACAGGCAAGGACAGCCACCGCTTCAGGCAGAGGTGAGAGACTTACCTGAGCAGCTTGGGGTCACAGGCACAAAGCACCTCCTGGCTTCTGCCAACCTGTCTCCTTCCTGCTGTCGGCCAGCATGCTTTTCCCTTCTCTCTTCACTTCCGCTGCATTTGTTCTTGGCTCTAGCCTCCTCCCCACTTTGCTGGGTCTGTCTCACAGCTGCTGCCCCCTGACCCCTGGTCCTATCCGCTGTCACACCTTTGCTTACACCTGCCTGCACTGTCCCCACAGGTCTCCCTGGCTGCCTCCTGTGTGCACTCACTCACTGTGCTCAGGCTCTCTGGAATATAAGCATATCCCCTTCCCTTCCTCTCATTCCCTTTCTTACCCTCTCTCTCTCTTCCTGTGAGGGACCCTGCCTGATGGCTCCCATTCACTGACAGCTCTCTCTCCTAATCTTACCTCTGCTGTCTCCAGCCCCTTGCCCTGGACGGGCCCCTCTGTGGCTTCTTTGCCATTCAGGCTGCAGTCCTCTCTGCTCTCAGGATCTCTGTCCCTTGGGCCTGATCGAGCACATTCTCTCTCATTTGTGTTATGCACACACACTGTAGTCCCTAGACAGCGCATGCTCACAACACACTCTGTCTCTCAGCACGCTCTGTCCTAGCGCATGCTTTTGATAGCTATAGCTGTCTTCCAAGGGTACTCGGCTCTCTCTCACTCTCCTGACTATTCCCTCTTTGGCTCTCTCTCAATCAGTCATGCACAGGACAGAGGGAGAGAGGGAAGGACAGACTCTGACTAGAGGATCTGGAGATTAATCTTTTGTTTTGTTTTGGTACCAAGGATTGGACTCATGACCTTGTACTTGCAAGGCAGGCTCTTATGTGGCTGAGCTAAATCCCTGGCAGATTAATCATTTTTAAATGTGCAGTTCAGTAATATTTTCTACACTCACAATAGTGTGTAACTACTACCATTCTCTATTTTTGGAACTTTTTTCATTACCTGGAACAGAAATTCTCCAACTATTAAGCAACATTCCTCCATCTTTCTGCATAGGCCCTGGTAACCTCTAATCTACTTCCTGTCTTTATGAATTTGCCTATTTTAGATATCTCTTATAAGCAGAACTATACCACATCTCTTCTTTTGTGTCTGATTTATTTCACTTAGCATAATGGTTTTCAACATTCTTTTATGTCATAGCCTGTGTCAAAATTCTCTTCTTGTGGTTAAATAATATTCCAGTGTTACGCATACACACCACATTTTGTTTGTCTACTCATCTGTTGATGAATATTTTGTTATTTCCACCTTTTGACTATAGCTATTATGAAAAAGGCTGCAAGAAAC